CTTCTCCCCCCTCCCCCCCCCCATGTAAGGCACCACAAGTCTCGCCCAGACTAGGGTCATAGGCTCCTTGCTGGTCACGTTGCTCTCCCATGGCCCCTTTCATTACCTTCCCCATGATGGAGCCACAGTGCTTGTTTCAGGATGTAGGTTAAGGTAAATCATGTCACCCAGCTTACAGCCCTTTGATGGTGCCCCTTGCTCTTAGGATAAAGCAGTGATCCCTCGTCCTGGCCTACCTGGCCCTGCATGACTGGTCCTTGTCTGTGTCTCTAGCCTTGTCTCCTGCCCTCTCCAGCACCCTGACCTCAAACCCGCCCAACACTGAACCCACTTCAGGGCTTAGCACAGACCATTCCCCTGGAGATGTCATCGTCACTCCAACCTGAGTCGAGGGATCCCCACTGATCCTTTCAGGTTGCGGCTGAGGGTTCATGTCCTCATCGAGGCTCTCTGTGACTCCCTTATCTGAATCGCTCCCAATCACCGACTCTCAGAGCACCCTGGCTTTTTACACTTTGTGCTACTCGTCACGATGTGTAATAATCTATTTGAGTGCTTGTTTCATGCTTGTCCTTATCTGTAAGATCCTCATTTTATATGGGACTCTAACCTGGGGTTTAGCTCAGAGAAGATGCACAGTATATACTTGCCAAATTAATTAGCATATTAAAGACTTTTTTTAAATCCATTAACTTAAAAAATGATCTTAGTTTAACCCAGAGCTTTCCAAATGCCTTCAGTAAGAGAAATACTGAGTAATCAGTGAGACCACCTCTTGGAAGAAAATGACACAGCAGTGCAAGAAGTTAAACGGAAAGATAAGTGTAAACTAAGGACCATCAAAGGCATATAGTCTGCAGCTGTTACTAAAAGTGGCCACAACAGTATCCGCAGCAGAACTTTTACCCAACACCAACTCCTTTGGCAACCCTTGGCATCATATATTGAACAATAATATTCCTCTCATTTAAGGGGACGAAGGACTTCCAGGAGGGCAGGTGATTCTGTGTTTCGAGACAAGAAAGCCAGAATGGGTCTGGAACATTCTGTTAGTTCCAGGAAGCAATGATACTTTTAGGACTGTCAAGGGCAGAATATCAGTGTTTGAAGGAGAGGCAAGCATACAAGTGACTCCAGCTGGTCAAGTTGGCAGTTTGAGCCCTAGAACTTTGAAAAGTGAAGCAATCTGAGTCTGTAAAAGGTTAAAGCTTCATAACAACACTCAAAGAGAAATAGTTCCTATTAGGTGTACAAAAAGGTATTCATCATGCAGAATAAAAAAGATTATAATAGGATATGTATCATTTTTATTTTAATGTTAAGAATGAAGAGTATTTGGCTTCTTGTGTTGATTATATCTGTTTGTGAAATATAGATGTTCTGCCAGGAAGAAGGAAAGAATAAACAATGGAAGCTATGTGCAAACCAAGAGGTCCTGGGAAAAGTCAGGGCTGTAGCAGGAATGGGAGACAGGCATCAGAACCGGGGCTACATGTGATAACCAGAGAAAAGGGGGTCCAGGAGTTGGTTAGCCAGTAGTCACCCCCAGAAACAATTAGAAGCAGAGTTCAGTGGCATGTTCCAAAAAGATGAACTAGCCAGATGTCATAAAGATGAGCCTCACAGTTTACAATAGCTAAGATCTGAAAACAGCCCAAGTGCCCATCAGTAGATGAGTGGATAAAAAGCTATGGGACATTTACACCATGGAATACTACACAGCTGTAAAGAAGAAGGATCTCGTACCCTTTGGGACAGTATGGATGGACCTGGAGAATATTATGCTGAGTGAAATAAGCCAGGCAGAGAAAGACAAACATCACATGATCTCGCTTATACGTGGAATCTAAAGAACTTAATACACTAATGAACAGAACAGATTCAATGACATGGAAGCACAGATCAGACTGATGAATGTCAGAGGGATGGAGGAGGGCGAGTGGGTGCAGGGGGAGAGAGTAACCAAAGAATTTATATGCATATATGCACAAGCCAAGGACACAGACAGTGGTGGGGAGGGGGATGGGACGGGGTGGAATGGGTCATTGGGGAGAAAAAGAGACATCTGTAATATTTTAAACAAAATTAAAATTTAAAAATAAAAGATGTGCCTTAACATGTAGATGCAGTCCTTCCTCTACTAGGGGATAAAACCTCACTGGCTTGTTAACCACAATGAAGTGTTGATTGGAAGTTCAGTGTGTTAATAATGCTACAGACCACATCAATACCACATAGTGACAGGACAATGTGTTATGCAATTCTGGCCAAGCCAGACTTAACCGGGAACCATTTGGCACCTAGCCAGGCTCTACAAAAGTGCCAAGGTCATGAAAGACAAAAAAAGACTAAGGGACCAGACCCAGACTGGGGGAGACTAAGGGCATGGAAACATCTGTGATCCTGGATCAGACATTAGGCCAAAAAAGGACATTGGTTAGAACACTGAGTGAAACTTGAATAAATTTTGTAGATTAGTTAATAGCATTGTAGCAACAACGTTTATTTCCTGGTTTTGATCAATGTAGTTATGCAAAGTGTTAACATTTGGAGAAGCTGGATGAAAAGTACATGGGGATTCTTTGTCCTATTTTTGCAATGTTTCTGTAAGTTTGAAATAGTTTCAAAATGAAAAGTTAAAAACATTTTTAATTAAATTTTTTAAGTGTATCTTTTAGGAATAGACCAAAGATTGCAAGAACCTGGAACCTACGTGAGAGATGGCATTCTTGGTTCAGCAGAGCATTATACTGGCATCAGTAACTGAGGGGGAGAGGGCTGCTCACAACTTACATTGCAGGAACTGCTGCCTGGTGCTGGGCTCGGGTTTTGAGGTCCAATACTTGCGCTCAACAACAGCTGACACTTGAGTTCTGATGTCATATTCCTCTGGAAAATCAGAGAGTTGTGAATGCACACCTGTTCCGGTGGCCAGGAGAACTTAAGAAGCAGGTCTTCCCAGCCAGGCTTCCCCAGATGTCCTGGAGGAAAATGGGGCTGAGCCTCATCACGTCTCAGAGAACCATGTTCAACGGGCCACATTTCTTTCATGGGTGAAGCAAAACAGGCTGAGAAAGATCCCAGACTGACTGGGGTTTCACCTAAAAGCGTAGGCATTAGGAATCGGAGAAGCTGGGCCTGGAAATGTCAGCCAGTGGCATGTGACTGACCCACCTTATCNTTCGGAGAAACTGGGCCTGGAAATGTCAGCCAGTGGCACAATGTGACTGACCCACCTTATCTGGGTCTCGGTTGTGAAAGGAAATCAAGACGTGTCCATTAGTAACAGTTTGGCGAAGGATGGCTTTGAACATGAGACGTCGCCCTGATTGCCCTCCCTGGCGCTCTCCCTCACCTTCCCCATCAGCGCTCTGAGGGACACACGTGCCAAGCCCACAGTTTCTCACCTCCCTTCGCGAACTCCTGGAGCTTTTCCTTATAGTTGTGCAGCAGCTGGATCAGGTGCACAGTGGAGTCCGTGATGACCTTGCAGATGCCTGAGAGCTTGTCCTTGAGCCCTATGTAGACGCTGGGGAAGGCACCGTCCTCCGTGCTCTTGAACTTGCAGTACTCCTGCAGGAAGGAAGCGTGGCAGAGCTTGCCCTGGCTCCTGTGTTTCTTAAACTGGCTGCTCTCCTCATCCCGTCCCTCTCTGCCGCTATAAAATGGGTCGATGGCAATGTGCACTTCACGAACTAGGTGTGTCACATGTGCAGCTCAGGAGCTAACAGCATAGAAAACATTTATTTTTTTAACTGGGAAATTGGGCTTTTAAAAATCAAGAGCTACTAGACGCCTATGAGCAATTCCAGTACTCAGCCCAGGCTGGAAACCAAAAAAACCAAAAGCACCTTTTATGCCAACAGCACAAAGGAGGTCACATCCCTGCTATGCTCATACCCTCAGGACCTTTTAAAAATAACTTAAACACAAGCCACAATAGGGAATGGAGGACCGGGTGCGGCACTCAGAAGATGCACAAATGAGACCTGACAGGAACACTGGCTGCCTTCTCCCTGTCAATTCGATCCAAACACGGTTTTCTCTAATTCTTGTACTGTGATTCAGAGATTGAAAGTCAATTTTGATTCGTATTTTCTTCACGTTTTGATATTGGAAAGCAAGGAACTGAGAAAAAGGCTTCCGTCGTATTTTTGTCTTTGCTTCTCTCTCTCGTTACCAGGTTAACTCTGCCTGGCTGGGTGGTGGGCATGTGGGTGACTCTTTTCCTTTATGTTTTTCTGTTTTTTCACAGTAAACATTTATGTTTGTTGTAGCCGGAAGGGAATTCTTTTTTAATGCAAGAGAGGAAAACTGTCTGTATTTAGGGATATTAGACCTGAAGGAATTAATCACTTACTCTGACCTGATTGTTCGATAAATGAGGCATTTGAGACCCAGAAAAGTTAAGTGACTTGCTAAAAACTAAACAGCTATTAGTGACAGACCTGAGGTGACAGAATTTATGCTGACCTAGTGCCCCTTCCCTGCAATATTACACGTGCTCAGTCTGGCTCTCCTGCCACATACCCGAATGTCGTGTCCATTGTTATGAAGTCTCATCCACTCACGGGCCTTCCTCCATCGCCCAGCACCGGCTGGCGAACAGGCCTCCAGCCTCACCCCTGCCAGGCAGGCCTCCTCAGCACTGTCAGAGGGTCCTAAGGACACTGCTCTGTTCACCCCTCCCCATCTGGAGCCCTCCACCGGCTTCTGTAACTCCCTGATGAAGAGCAAACTTCTCTCACAGCCAGACAGCCTCCTCTCCCACTGTTTGTGAAAGTGTCTAATCCCCCAAAGCAGTTGTGATTCCTCACAGCTCTCTCCCGCATGCCTGCTTCCTCACAGCCCTCTCCTGCATGCCTGCTTCCTCAGCTCTCTCCCGCATGCCTGCTTCCTCAGCTCTCTCCCCCATGCCTGCCTTCTCAGCTCTCTCCCGCATGCCTGCTTCCTCAGCTCTCTCCCGCATGCCTGCCTTCTCCGCTCTCTCCTGCATGCCTGCTTCCTCAGCTCTCTCCCGCATGCCTTCTTTCTCAGCTCTCTCCCGCATGCCTTCTTCCTCAGCTCTCTCCCGCATGCCTGCTTCTTCAGCTCTCTCCCTCATGCCTGCTTCCTTAGCTCGCTCCCGCATGCCTGCTTCCTCAGCTCTCTCCCTCATGCCTGCTTCCTCACAGCCCTCTCCTGCATGCCTGCTTCCTCACAGCTCTCTCCTGCATGCCTGCTTCCTCAGCTCTCTCCTGCATGCCTGCTTCCTCACAGCCCTCTCCTGCATGCCTGCTTCCTCACAGCTCTCTCCTGCATGCCTGCTTCCTCAGCTCTCTCCTGCATGCCTGCTTCCTCAGCTCTCTCCCGCATGCCTGCTTCCTCAGCTCTCTCCCGCATGCCTGCTTCCTCAGCTCTCTCCCGCATGCCTGCTTCCTCAGCTCTCTCCCGCATGCCTGCTTCCTCAGCTCTCTCCCGCATGCCTGCTTCCTCAGCTCTCTCCCGCATGCCTGCTTCCTCAGCTCTCTCCCGCATGCCTGCTTCCTCAGCTCTCTCCCGCATGCCTGCTTCCTCAGCTCTCTCCCGCATGCCTGCTTCCTCAGCTCTCTCCCGCATGCCTGCTTCCTCAGCTCTCTCCCGCATGCCTGCTTCCTCAGCTCTCTCCCGCATGCCTGCTTCCTCAGCTCTCTCCCGCATGCCTGCTTCCTCAGCTCTCTCCCGCATGCCTGCTTCCTCAGCTCTCTCCCGCATGCCTGCTTCCTCAGCTCTCTCCCGCATGCCTGCTTCCTCAGCTCTCTCCCGCATGCCTGCTTCCTCAGCTCTCTCCCGCATGCCTGCTTCCTCAGCTCTCTCCCGCATGCCTGCTTCCTCAGCTCTCTCCCGCATGCCTGCTTCCTCAGCTCTCTCCCGCATGCCTGCTTCCTCAGCTCTCTCCCGCATGCCTGCTTCCTCAGCTCTCTCCTGCATGCCTGCTTCCTCAGCTCTCTCCTGCATGCCTGCTTCCTCACAGCTCTCTCCCGCATGCCTGCTTCCTCACAGCTCTCCTGGAACATACTTCTCCTTGGGCAGTACTCATCTGCCATGACCTGGTTCCAGCTCCCAGCTCCGGGAAGTCCCCCTGCCCTTCCTTCCTGCACTCCTGTACTCTGAGTCGGGACCTGCCTCTCTCTGTCCCCAGGGCTCCCCATGCACCCCACTGATCTAAGAGCGGTTCTATCCGCACATCCACCAGTGAGCCCCTGGCGTTAGTTTCGCTGGCGGACACCTCGGCCCCAGCCCGCCGCACCTCCAGGAACAGCACGGTGTTGCCGATGGCGGCAATCCTCGCCAGCTCCTGCCTGTTCCTCTCCATCTCCGCAGTCCTGTGCTCCAGGTGCGTCTTGATGCCATTGGCCTGGCTCAGCGCAGCCTGTTCCTTCTCCTCCAAGAAGAGCATCACGTCGGCCTGGGCCTTCCTCATGGCAGCAAGGAGCTCCCCAAACTGCTCCTCAGCCACCATCTTCACCTCCGACACCGACACCTGATGGGGGCAGCAGAGGGCCTGTTAGCAGGGCTCGGGCTTCATCAAAGCTCAACGCTCAGCACACAGAAATGCAAATCTGTCAGACCTGTACATTACGGAGCAATTTTCTATTATAAACGGAAGCTTTTATTCTCACGTGACCCTGGGTTCCTGGAAGAAAAGGCCTGCTCCCCAGCGTGTAAGTCCTTGTTTACCCATCTTTAGCACAGTCTCTCCCACTGCAGAGAGAGTGGCCTTCCAGCTCCGACAGCCGGGCTGCTACTCAAGGTTCTGAACCCAAGTTTTCTACCAGGGCAATTCAAGTATTCAGCGTACTTGATAGTTATATTTATTGTGGTAAATTGATCATTGGGCTTCTTTGTAAAAGTCTATAGCATGAACCAGCTTCCTTAGCATTTGCTGCCTGTTAAACTGCCCACTGCAGGCACCAGAGCCCAAAGCACATCCTAGATCAGGGCGTCCTACCAGGCACGACGGTTTAGGGTGTGTGTTGGTGCCCACAGGAGGAGCCCACCCGTGCAGACTGAGTGCTACATTCAAATAACATAAAACAAACTCGGCGTGATAACTGTCAGGATTGCGCTTGTGCATGTGGGACTCTGAACTTTCACAGGGCGAGCGCCCTGCAAAACTGCCTTCAGTCAGTGTCCTATTTACAATATCAACCCAAGTTGTAAACGGTTTCCTCCTCTCATTGGTAGTTCTTAAGTACTGGCGCTGACGGTTCTTCTAGTAAAAAGTTCTTTTTTAGTACAGTTAAGAGTTCTTAAAGTATAGTAAAAAGACAGCATTCTTAGCCCTAGAATTGGTCCAGAAAGGTTATCAGTCAGATGGTAGGTGGTCTGGATGGTGGATGCCTGGTGGTCTAGAGGATGGTCCCAGGAGATCTGGTCACACCCAGTGGTCTGTATAATGGATGTCACGCGGATGTCAGGTGGCCTGGATATGTGAGGCCTTCACGGGGATAATCAGAGGGTCATCTGGAGGTCTGGTGTGTGCCCAGATGTATATCCAGGCATTGACACAGGACTGGAAAGTTGAAAAAGTTTAAGTTCCCAGTATAGTTAGGACAAGAGTAGAGTCTTGCCTCATGCCTCCGCCTTCACAATGTTAACAGTTTTATCAGGTTTCTGAAAGTGACTTCATTTTATATATTACCTATCTTCACTCTTTCTTCAGAGGCAACAAGCATTTATTTGGAATCAAAAAGAACTGCAGCTCAGGGAGCACAGATTCAGGCAGAAACCTAAATGGTGTCCCAGTTACAGGATGAGAGCAAGGGGTTTTTATGAGAAAAGGAATAGAAAAAAAAGAAACTTCTATTGGTGCTAACAAGCTGAGTCACTCTTTGGCTATACATGGCTGGTTTCTGATTCTGTCTTCAGAGTTATAATCTCTAGTCCCTGTGGTCAGGATGCCTGCTTCCCTGTTGGCTTTGCAAACGCTTGTTTGCGAGACAATGTTGGTTGGGCCCGGGGTATTATGGGAAAGGAGAGGAATCCATTTACTCCCTATAATGATGACATGTAGGGAGCATGATAGCATGAAGCTCAGAGGCATAAGACTAAAGACAAACTTCAGGTGCAAACCCCACTCCGCTGTGGCCCTCCTGAGGAAGGCCTCAAATGATGCTGGTGGGTTTACTCTTCCGCTGTCCTGTGTAGCCTCTCATTCCTAAGCCTTCCCATGGATGTACTTCTTCTTTGCATCTAAATGGAATGTATAAACATATAATTTACTGCCCAAATGATGACAAATAAAGACTATGGAAAGGAGGGGCCACAAACACATCAAAGTACCAAAGGTAAAGATTTGAAGATTATGGTGCACATGCCTGTCGATGGACTGAGTCGTTTTTAGGCCAAGGGAGCAACAATCCCAGGTTCACCTGTTTCATCCATCTAGGGGTCCCAGACAAGTCTTATCTCTCTGTCTTCATGTCCCTTGTACACGGTGACATTATGATAACTACCTCCCTCGGTTACCAGGCAATTCTGAAAAGAGCTGCATAGGGACCAAAGTGTCTGAAAATTAAAGAACTGGGAAAGGCAAGGTGCTCTGTGTGGTTCTCCAGATTACACTGAGATTGGAAATCAACAATCTCTGAAGGTTTATAAGGCTTTAAATGGGCAATTGTTTTTCTTCTTTCATAAGATTATGTGCATAAGAAAGAAGTATTTACCACTCAGTAGCACTTAGTTATAAACACTGAGGAGAAAATTAAGTTGAAATGAATACACGTATTACACATGGGTGGGTGGGTAGGTGGGTGGATGGATGGATGGATGGATGGACAGATGGTTGGGTGGGTGGATGGATGGATGGGATAGAATCATTCTTGGTATACAAAAATAACACTGCTGATTCACTGTCATAGGATAGATGTATTGCNAGATGGTTGGGTGGGTGGATGGATGGATGGATGGGATAGAATCATTCTTGGTATACAAAAATAACACTGCTGATTCACTGTCATAGGATAGATGTATTGCATTCTCTTCTGAGTGATGGTTATTGGTTTACCACTAATGAGAAGCATTTGTGGAACTGTTTGGGTCTACATAGAGTTTATATGGAAAGTGGTCATAAAACCAGAGAGCCTAAAACTAAGTAGCCTGTATACCACTGACCTTAACAAGTATCATCCACTAATTAGCAGTTTTCAACTCTCTTTTCTGGCTGCCAGGACATAGGACTAGTGACACTCACATGGAGGTGGAGAAGCCAAGATTACGTATAATTCCTGGAGCTCTATCTAAACAACCCCCTAACTCCCCCACACCCTTTTGTCCTGATCAAGAAAGCATACAGAAATGTAAGAATAAAAATGCTATTATTGCCCGGCCAGGCGTGGCTCAGTGGTTGAACATCGACCTGGGACCCAGGAAATCGAAGTTCGATTCCCTGTCAGGGCACATGCCCAGGTTGCANATGGCTCAGTGGTTGAACATCGACCTGGGATCCAGGAAATCGAAGTTCGATTCCCGGTCAGGGCACAGGCCCAGGTTGCAGGCTTAATCCCCAGTCGGGGGCGTGCAGGAGGCAGCCGATCAATGACTCTCTCATCACTGATGTTTCTATCTCTCTNCCAATGACTCTTTCATCACTGATGTTTCTATCTCTCTCTCTCTCCCTTCCTCTCTCTGAAATCAATAAAGATATTTTTTTTAAATGCTGTTATTACAGACCTAGTCTTGCTTCTGCTCTATATTATGAAAAAGTAACTCACTTGCCAATTTCGAGCCATAAACTACTTTCATAGCCAATCCCAACAGCAGGTTAGGCCACCCAGGGATGCAGCTGGCTGTGTCTATACCTCTCGTTCTCATTTGCTGAGAGACCTAGGAGCCCACGGACATGGAGGCTGAACCTGCTGGGCCTCGCTGAGCCTGCAGCTGCATCCGGGCATGTACGGCAGCCTGACAGGTGACCCCGACCAGCCTTACCAAAACGGATTTATGATTGGCTTGGAGCCTGGCGATGGCGTTTTCATTCAATTTGAGTTTCCGCTCCAGGTCTAGCTGGGTGCTCCGAAGCTCAGCCTAAGAAAAGAAAGACAGCGTTAAGCAGGAAGGAGGCAGTGCTCACAGAAGGTCCCAGGAGCAACAGCGCCCTCCCCTTACTTCCACGGAAAGGAGAGTTTGGCCTCAGAAGCTGCTCTCAGAAGTGAGCCCAGAGCACCCTAAACGGAGGCGCAAAGGTCATCCGTGCGCCAGAACCTCCTGGGGCTGAACTCAGCAGGAATTGGCTAAAATATGGGGAGCACATACACTGTGCCACGCTGGTCATTATTTTAAGCAGTAATATGGATTACCTCAAATCATCCTAACCGTACCCATATGTAAAGGTCACTGTCTCCATTTCACACATAATAAAATCAAGCCACCTATCCAAGGTCATGCAGTTGAACAGTGGAGTTAAGCCCAGGCCTTCGGACCCAGAATAACCTAACAGGGAGCATGGGGCTTGGAGCTGATGGCGGGGATCCCAGGTTTTCTATTTAGCAGCCGAGACTTGGGAAAAGTCTACTGAACATCTCCGGACTCCCACTTCTTCACCTGTGAAGCGCCTAACTGGTGGCGCTTCTGTGAGGACTGACGGGGACAGCGCGTTAATGAGACTGTGCCCAGTAGCTGGTGCGCTGTGGGTGCTGTGCCCGTGCCAGTGCCGCCGGGGCCCTCCTTGCCCTTGCTAGGGCTGCCATGGCGGCTCCCCCGCGAGTCTCCTTCCCCCTGGAGGCGGGCACCGCGGCCAGCCGAGGCAAGTCCACCTGCTCCGACCCCACTGCCAGCTCCACTCTCCCCTCCTGGGACGCCCTTTCTGCCACAAAGTGTGCCAAGGCATGAAACTTAAGCCTTTGAAAATGTCAGAGGCCCTGTCACTCTCCTGCTTCCACAAGGGCATGAGACAGCAAAAAAAAAGAATAGCTCTGGTTGCTCTGAATAGGTTACGCTGCACTTAAAGCTGAGTCATTAAGCCCTAATAGAGCTCCGAGGCTATAAATGAAGTCTCTCCTTTCTCCCACTGAAACCTGGGGGAGTTTCATGCCTCTGGGCGAGAGAGCTGTGGGCAGGGATCCTTTGCTCAGGCTCTGGGGCGCTGACTTGGAGCCTGGGAACCCAGTGACCTCCCACTCCTGAGACCTGAGACCTGATGCCCAGGAGTGAGGGGGGCGGGGGCGCCTGGCCTATTTGGGGCACTTGTATAATCCTGACCTGTCGAAAAGGCTTGCGCAGTGACCGGTTCCAGAGGGGGCGGAAGGAGACACGAGTGGCTGATTAAGGTGGAGGCAGACCCAGCAGAACCCCCTGGCAGTGCGAGAACTGGTAAAATAGCCCAGCGTGGCCCAGAGCCGCAGGGAGACCCCAGAGATCTCCAGGGAGGCACTTCTCTCACTCTCTGCAAACGGCCATAACAAGAGCAAAAGAGCAAAAGGCTCCTACGTCCCTAATGGTGACCTCTCTGAGTGAGTCACCCCAAGGGCAGCCACTCCTGTTTACCACAGAGGTGGGATCGCTTTGAGAAACCAGTATCTCCAGTTGTTCCTCTCTTAGAAAATAATGGGTGGCTCATACTCTGGCTTCAGGGTTTCCCAGAATGCCAGCCACTCCCATCCCAGCCAAGGTGCCAGAGCAGGAGGGGGCATCCATGAGCGCAGAGGGCCCTATGTTGAAGGGCACAGAGCGTCCCGCCTCTTCAGCAGGGCAATGACAAATATGCAAAGGGTACCATACTTGCCTGCCGCTGCTGGCCATACAACCTGTGTCAAGTCATTTAGTGTCTCCCTTGGTGCAGGGCCTCAGGAATGTCAACAGAATTGTCCTTGCTTCTATCTACAGGGCAAAGGTAGCCACCCAGAGCTTGGTGGCCAGGAGCCAGGTCAGAGATGCAAATAGGAAGAGCAGAGAGCATGAGAAAAGAGAAGAAAATTCCCAATGGTCTTAGTTCCTCTGTATGTCCAACCACGAGATGCTGGTCCTGCTGGAGTGTTTACATTTGGTTTCCATCTGACTTCACTCCTCAGTTATTGGTCAGAACCTGCTACATGCTAGTCCAGTGAAATAAGACATCCTCGCTGCTCTTGAAAGACATCCAGCCTGGGAGACTGTTTAACAAAAACAAGTTGCATAATACTGAGTCCAAGGCATTCCTCAAAATCTCTAAATAAATTCCTTTCCTGAGTGGCCTTCCGCCACCCATCTTCTGGATGCCAGCAAACAGGCTGTGAGCAATGCTGGTCACCTGCTCTCCGGAGATGCACGAATCCCCGCGGCTCTCAGAAACTTCGCTGCTGTTCTATGTGGACACTGTCTGCGGGCAGCACACAGTTCTGAACTTTCTGGAACCAACGCTGATGTTGAATGTAATGGCCTGTCACGAATGGACTTCAAGATCCGAGACAGGGCCCAGATCAGAACCCTGCCCTGACCTCACGGCCACGGCCTGTGCTGCCCCAGCCCTTTGGCATTCCAGGGAGCCCCGGAATGTGCTCGGCTTCCTGATCAGGGTCCACACTCCCCGAGGACAGACGGGGAGCCTGACAGCCCGTAGGAAGCACTCCAAAATGTTTGATAAGCTTGAGGAAAAGCAAGAAAGAACCCTGTGCACTCTGTGGGTCAGGACAAACAGAAGCGGTCAGGAGGAGCGCAGACCGCACCAGTGTGCACATGTGCACGTTTCCACAGCAGCCGGCCTGCGAGTCAGGAGGGCGAGAGGAGTTGGACCAGCCGCCCTTAGAGGAAGGGGCTCGGGCAGCTGGCTTGGAGCAAAGGGAAGTGCTGAGGCCCCATCAGGAGGAGGCTGGCAGAACAGAACAATCACAGGGCACCGAACTCCGGGAACTCTGAGCTTTTGCCCCCGGCATAGCTGGAGGCCGGGGGAGCTTCAGAAAGGGCTCGCTGCTTCGCTGAGACGTAAGTTGCTCTGCAGACCAATGCAGGATTTCGGCTACTTTGTGTCCTTATGGCCGACCCTGCCATTTACAGTTTTCTATGCACAACACGCCTGCCTGAGTAATTAGCCCTTAACACTATCCAAAGTCACCTTCAGCAAGTAATGCGAGCAGACTTGGGCTAGCTGAAGGGAATATTGGGTTTCTAGAGCCTTAATTTAGTCTAATAAAACTTGCAAAAAATCCCGGTGCAGTTGCAGCCTCATCGAGGCACTGCGTCTTCTGGGCTGGGCCCCTCACAAGAAATCTTTGGGCTCCGAAGATTTGGCAGAGCCACCTAGAATGTGGCTGTCACAGAGTAAACTGACTATCTGAGCTGAAAACAAGGACACAGGGTGGAAAGGACAAGAGCTCTCTTAGGCAGACCAAAACACAGAGGTTGTAAACCGGGTTCATCACCAAAAATCTGGGGCTGGGGCTATTGCACTGTATTTATAACCATGGTTGCTTTTCAGCCCTCAAAACTTCCCTAGACCCTTAGGTAGCTGTCTTTATTTTATTTCACCAGGCCCCTCTTAGGACGTCTGAACTTGGGGTTCCGCACACGCTCTACACAACTCCTCCTGCTCAGAACTGCAATTACCCTACATCCCTGTAATGCATCAGTTTACACCATGTTTAAAATTCATATTGTGTCTGTGCTGCCACGGGCATAGAACATTCCTCAAAGAAAACAGAAGGAAGTGTAGATGGGGGCCTGTGCCTCTGAGGAGGGGGATGGGAGTCCAGGATGGGAGGGAGACCTTCTCCTGCCGTAATTCACTGCAATATTTGGAGAAGATTGTTTTTCAATATGTACATGCATCACTTTTCCAGGAAAGTATAATGAAAATCAGATGTTATGCCCAAAGGAAAAAGCAGTACACTTTGTCTTAATATTTCTGCTGTGTTTGGTAGGTTTTTAGTGCAAAAGGAAAAGTCAGGTTCTAATATGGTGATCTTGGGGTCCTGCCCTCGTGTTCCTCCAGTAGGGTGGGTCCCTAAAGCTTTCATTCCTCTCTCCATGACTTAGTCGTATCTAAGAGTTTGGACAAATGTGGTGGAGATAAAAGATCGTCACTCATAGAGTTATGTGAGGACCAGGTGGGGAAATCCACGGAAAGCATTTAGCACATAGCAGTGCTCAGTGAAGACTGATTTCCTCAGTTACACGGAGCCTTTCCTTTGATCTGTCGGTCAGCGCAGAGCCTGAAAGGTTATGAAAGTAGGGAGAGGAGTGACGTTCCCTGACACTGGAAACACTAGAAACCGGTGGCGAGTGGCTTCCAGAGTTGGAAACAGTGACTCGTTGGCATCTGGACCACAGAGTTTTCCAAAACAATTCCCACTAACACTGGATAGAATCTAAGCCCAAGAGTGCCTGGGGGAGGGGCCTGACAAGTAAACTGCCCTCCCCAGGAACCTTCTTCCTCTGCTGCCCAGGGACTGGGCCAAGGG